CAGGGTTTAGGGTTTGAGTTTCGGGGTTAGGGTTTCGGGTTGAGGGCTTCGGGTGTTCAAGCGCGCCTTCGGATGATCGGTTTAATGTAGTTTAGGGTGACAGGCATGCTCAGCACCCGGGCGCCTAATCACCAGTTTGGGGTTTAGGGTTTACGCTGAACATGAGAGGAAGAACTGTGGTAACAAGCAGGCTCGCAAACAGCAACTACGGCTTGCAATCGACCAAACTGGAGGGACCCGTACTAATCCCGAACAGATATGTACATATGTAACACCCCTGCATGCCGAAGACTGAAACCCAGAGCCCTCAACCTTTGACCTCTCCCGAACCCGAGGCTTGGATTCCAAGCCAGGAGGGTCATATTATATTAAATTATGTTATATTCTATTATATTAACTGAAAAACGGCTTCCGGTTCAACATGCGCAGTTTTTTGCCCAGCCAGCACGCTCGTCTGAAATACTTCCGGCTTTCTGGAAGGTACATGGCGTTGCCCGAATGATGTTCGCTAAGCTCACTGTGACAATCCTGGTGATATTCTTATATGTTCCACGATTACTGCAATAGTTGCTAACAAGTATTACTCTACTGAACCATCTCGTCACTCGGTCCCTCCAGCACTGCACTGTCAGCCTAGTGGCATCCCTCTGACGGGGTCCAACCCCGGGCAGTCATCGTAGATGCCGAGGCTACCGTCTTCTTTCTCGCAGAATGTGTACGCACAGTAGGCCATATCGCAAGCCGGGCCGCCCATGGCCTGGGTTTTCTGTTTAAGGAAGTTAGTTTAAGTTAAAGTTACCATATAGTTTAGGCCTGATGGTATAATAGGGATCTACTGTGAAAAAGCGGTTTCCTTATTATGGTAACGCACGAGCCCAGTGGCACACGCCCATGCGGCAATGAAGCGTGCATCATCCACGGACGGTCGGCTGCCAGCGGTGCCGGGTTTTGCTGCTTGGAATCTTGCCATCATCTCATTCAAGGTAATGTTGGTATGACTGTTGGCGGGATCGCGCCAAAATAGGTAACTGACTGTTGCTTCATGTTGCTTTTCAATATGGAGCGACTGATGTGTTTTTGAACTTTACGTTGTTACAACCCTATCTTCCTCTTCTACTCTACTCTATCTTCCTCATAAATTCTACTCTACTCTACGTTTCCCTAAATACCCCTAGCGGGCACCAAGCAACCCTGTATGAGGCCTGCTTGCAACACTAAGCACGAACACAGCACTTCTAACAACGGCCCGGCTGCCCTTTGACCCCAGCTTGATGAGATGATCTGAGTTGCAGAACTCCGTGGCTTTCGCAGTCCTGGGTCGCTGTTGCAGAGTTCAAGCTGCAACAAGGTTTATAGGGTTTAGAGAGCTGGGATGTATAAGGTTTGCGTATGTGTTTGCAGGTTCTTATGGCTTTAACTCACTTCCAAGTTCCTTACAATGCAACCCAGAGTCAGGCCGTCGTAGTCGTGCTGCAATGCTCTGAACTCAGGGGACAGCCAACCGTTGTAGTAGCAGAAGTGCTGGTCATAAGAAGCTACTGAGCTGTTAGGCCACACCACGCTTTTGGCAAAAAACATATAGTCCCGGTTGTAGACGGCATCAGCGCAGCCCTTTTCAAAGTTGAGCTCACACCACCCATTTGTCACGTTGTGCTCTGCCGTGGCCTTCTTCATGAAGGTGCTCAAGGGCAGCTTGCCATTCTCAGGGTGTTCCCAGTAGCTGCTGTTGCCGCAGTCGCTACGCTGCAGGTAGGACTTGTTGGGCGCACGCTCTTTCGGGGGCATGCTGCAAAGAGAACAGTAGCGTCCATTGACATCGACACTCTCGAAACCTGGTATCGCTGGAATTTCAGAACAAAAAGCCTCTCTTTGATTTTTGACTGAAAGGTAACAGGCTTCTCGGGAACCCCCCAACAGCGGGGAAGAAAAGATGGCAAAGAAAGCAAAAAAGAAGGGAGCCATTGGAAGATCCAGAAACTCTGCATCCAGTCTCGAGACGTCCCAGGGTTAAAACGAACACCATGGTCCAGCGCGAGTTGGTTGACATCGCCTTCCCAGCTTATCGACGATGTAACCTGAGCGGCTGGATTGCAGAAACATACAAGGACTGTGACATGGCATCTATAGAGATCATGGGGCTTGGGGCCCATGTTGAGGTCCTCATTGCAAGCAAAGTATACTTGTAATTGGGTGGTGCGGCCATGCAGTATACTTGGGTGTTCCTATTTCTCAAACCCTCCGCATCGAGGTTTTTGACGGGGTTCTACCGGGGCCTGAAAGAGCCGGGCCAAATCCAGTCAAGCGGCAACTTTGCGAGAGCCCTGCTGCAACAATGATATTCCATGCTCCCAACTGGAATCCTGGGTTGCTGTAAAGGCCGGTATGAAAAAATCATGCTGAATACAAAACCCTGGAAAAAATCTAGACAAGCTTGTCCTGCTTAACTTAGACCACCCAAAGCTAACTCCTGTTTAGGTGGCTGACCTCTAAGCCCCAAACCCGAAGTGCCTGAACAGCAACCCAGAATCCTCAAAGCTGAAGGCGCCGTCCAAACCCGAAGCGGCAGTCAGAGCCAGGAAAGCAAACAGGGCGAGAAACATGGATGCTGGAGCAGGCCAGGAGACGTAATAATCATAACAGAGTTTTGGTGTATGTTACAGTATGATTCATAACAGCATCATGTTACCTAACTATTGCGACTCACATATTGCGTTGCGGTTCCGAAGATGGGTGATTTTTTCTTTTTTATCAGGGGTGCGCATTATCGCAGGAAGCCCCGCGATATTCTTTGTCTAGTCCCCACATGTAGACAGACGGGTTTTGGCAAAGGGTGTCGCCTGCGACCCGACTTGAACCCAGACGGCTACAGTTGTAGCTTCAAGTCCTAAGCTGCAGTTGAGAGCCAGGTTCTTCTAGGAGGTATGCTATGGAGGAACACTATGGAGCAAACACACCGGGAATCAGAATAAAGTCATTGATGGGAGTGGCATAGGAGACGTGAGAGGGACTGAGGAGGCTGACTCATTCTTGTAGCACCGTCATACGGCAAACGCTGCTGAAAACAGACAATGGTACGACACATAGAGGCCGAGTCCATGAGAACATGGCTGTTGGATCTGTAGGACGTGTGCTAAGATGTATCATGATAGATCTACACGACTACGACAAACAAACATAGCAACTGTTCAAGCTCCCACATCAAGTGTGACTGTTGCTGGCTGCGGTTTAGTAGAATGTACAAAAGCGTCTCTGAGGCTGTTTTACAATGGTGGAACACGACATACGATAATATGATGTACTCTTGCAAAAGCAGGTTGCACCGAATCTTGAAATCCCCTGAAACCCTGCACCCAGTTGCAGCCTCCAAAGGCCAACGAAAAGCCTTGAATAAACCCAACATCTTACAACCTAATCCCTGGACTTTAAACCATAAGCACCCGAAACCCTACCCCCCCCCCCCCCC